GCCTAGGGCTGTCTCTGAATATTCAATTTATCGTTTTGCTGTTTCGAATATTTGACAGATAAAAAAACTACGCATGTACACACATGACTGTGTGAATCGTGAAGTGCACTGCACTTTATTGTCAGATGCCAGTTTTTATTGTCAGTAATGTTTTTTGTCGACGGCGGTTCATTGTTCTCATCCTTTCAGCAGATTAAAGGGAAAATACAACATTTGCAAACATCGAAAAATAAAACTACCAGTACCAAGTTTTTACGAAATACCTTACTACCGTAGGATGTTGGTAAATGACAGCCTAAAGCATCCTGTAAAATTGTAGCACCTGGTATGAAGTCATTTTCAAGAAAAGTGGTATTTTTGTATACATTTCCAACGGTGGTCGGCCGACCACTGTTGGAAAAACCTAACTACATGTATTTTTCAACTACTCCAAATTTACCATTTTTTTTTTCAGTCCAGATTTTGTTTGCTATTGGCTACATGTTCATACAGGTGCAGGCCAGCTAGACTGGTTCCCTTACCGGTACCTTACAATTTTCCGGCATCTACAAATTGATCCATTTCATCTTTAGTGGAGTCAGGGAACCAGACTACTTGAACGTTTTTGTTTTACTTGGTTTTTCCAGCATTTTCAAACACAAAACTTCAAACATGTCAGTGTAACAATGTTTGATCTATTATTATACTAACCCCTCAAATAGTTCATTTTGGAAAATTATAGCAAAAGCCAATGATGTACATTCCCTTTAAAGCCATAAAATGCTAACTGCAAAACACTCCTGCAGCCTTTAACATCGATTCCCGTGCACAAATTTTAACTGGCGCGTTTTGCCTGTAACTGTTGATAATGCACGTATGGCATGCAGTTGAAGCTGGCATGGGTAAACTCTGACCTCCGAATTTTGAATATTCGGTCAAACGCAGTTGTGAATAATCGAGTACTAAACTGTGCATTATCCAAATGTGAATTTCATAAAAGTTGAACGGCGCACTTGTGAATAATCGAGTACTAAACTGTGCATTATCCAAATGTGAATTTCATAAAAGTTGAACGGCGCACTTGTGAATAATCAAGTACTAAACTGTGCATTATCCAAATGTGAATTTCATAAAAGTTGAACGGCGCACTTGTGAATAATCGAGTACTAAACTGTGCATTATCCAAATGTGAATTTCATAAAAGTTGAACGGCGCACTTGTGAATAATCAAGTACTAAACTGTGCATTATCCAAATGTGAATTTCATAAAAGTTGAACGCAGTTGTGAATAATCAAGTACTAAACTGTGCATTATCCAAATGTGAATTTCATAAAAGTTGAACGCAGTTGTGAATAATCAGGTACTAAACTGTGCATTATCCAAATGTGAATTTCATAAAAGTTGAACGCAGTTGTGAATAATCAGGTACTAAACTGTGCATTATCCAAATGTGAATTTCATAAAAGTTGAACGCAGTTGTGAATAATCAAGTACTAAACTGTGCATTATCCAAATGTGAATTTCATAAAAGTTGAACGCAGTTGTGAATAATCAAGTACTAAACTGTGCATTATCCAAATGTGAATTTCATAAAAGTTGAACGGCGCACTTGTGAATAATCAAGTACTAAACTGTGCATTATCCAAATGTGAATTTCATAAAGTTGAACGCAGTTGTGAATAATCAAGTACTAAACTGTGCATTATCCAAATGTGAATTTCATAAAAGTTGAACGCAGTTGTGAATAATCAGGTACTAAACTGTGCATTATCCAAATGTGAATTTCATAAAAGTTGAATGTATTCGCATTCGTGTGAACTATGAAAAGGCTATGCCATACACTGCAATCACCACAATTGCTACCGGTACGAATAGTAATTCTTGAGTAAATGTTTCTTTGCTGCCTCGGGATGATTCTGTTAGTTTGGTGAGGATCGTTAAAGATCGGGAAGCGCTCCGACAAATTTGGAACATGTTCAAAATTGTCGCGTTGATTCAGGAATCAATTTCAATTCTTGGTTTATTCTTGTTGTATTCATAACTACTTCTGGATATTACAGCATTCTGGATATTCTTATTGCATTAATTTTCGTAGAGTTATTTTTGGTGTTAACAGTCAACTTTGTCCTGAATCATTACGAATGTATCAAGAAATGTATGAATATTATAAGAATAGCTTACAAATGTATTCACTCAATCGGCATAATTCTGGGTCATTCTGGATGATTCTTGAGTTATTCTTATGTTATTCTTCACAAATCGCTACAATTCGGTTTTATTCTGCACTAAATCGCAATCATTCGGCTTGGTTCGATCTGATTCGGCTTCCAATTTGTAGGCCTACCTAGTTCTTGATTATTTTTGTCTTTCTTAAGTTACACATATGTATTCTTAAGTCCAGCGAATCAGAGCTAATTTCTCCCGATGCCATAACAAATTTTTATTCGGTATACATGTAGATCAGGGTATTGTTGGCAATTGTGCAGAAATGCTTTTGCACGATCGGTCGACCACACTGCCATTGGTCGATCACCTTTTCTTTTTATTTTCATTTTAAATGGAAGTAAAGAATGAGATTTCCTACAGCATCGACCGATCGTACAATCAAATTTCTGCAGAATCAAGTGATAGCGCGAATCCACCGATTGCCCCCGACAAAAGAAAATGTGTTAGATCACATCAAGGCCATGGCACTTGATGTTAACAAAAGTCTCAGTCAGATACAATCCTTCATGCCGTAAAACAAAATTTACAATATTGAAAGCGACGATAATGCTCATATATCATTGAGAAATTGGTGCATTTTGTGTGAAGCAGACAGTAGTCAACTGATTATACTTGTACACTGTTTATGTATTGAAATATTCAAATGTTCCACATGAAGCAACCTTTTTGCTTGAAAAAGCTCATTAAAATTTATATGCAATATTTTTTTCCCTTACGGTACAAAATACTGGTTAGTGCAAAAAGCAGGAATAAATTAAGGGTTATCGACACATGTACATGTACAGGTACTTTGATGTGAATCACAGGGATGTATGGAGAATCTCGATTAAAGTCTCTTCATTGCATGTACATGTATACAGGTACTGTAATTATACAACATGCAAACATCAAAAAACAAAACTGCCCAATTATTATGAAATGCCTTACCTGACTGTAAGTGAATAATAGTCTCAAGCATCCTGTGAAATCATGGCACCTGGTGTGCTGTCATTTTCAAGAAAAGCGGGATTTTTTTGGCAACTTCCAACGATGGTCGGCCAACCATCTTTGGAAAAAAACTATTTTTTTCTTCAAATACTGCCCCCAATTTACCAAATTCAGTTAGTCCACATTTTGTTTGAAATTGGTTGTACACATCTGTGCAGTGCGTGAAATTACAGTCGGACATCGGACATTTTCCGACCACTTTCATGGTTTGTCCGACCAAATGCAGATGTGCTCGGACAAAATGTCCGAGCGATTTATGTATTCTTTGTGGAGTTGTCTTTTTCAGAAGTATGAAATAAACGCTTGCACTCAAAAGTATTTGGTTGTTTATTTCCGATGATCCGGTCTGTAATACTTACCGTACGCTGAGCGGCTGCTAACTACATGTACGTGTTGTCTTATATTCACGCAATAGATGCAACGCGTTTACACCCCAATCATTACACAGTCTAGTACAGCGCGGCGTGCACAGCGATAGATTGGCATTCGTACGTACGTGCCGTTTGCCAAAAAATAGACGTGAAATCAAGTCGATAAATTGTGTTTCGATCAGCAGTCTTCGTGTTTCTTCTACAAATCAGTTAATACAACTTTTTGTACTTTTCAAGACATTTTATGGAAATGAGCAGTGGCCGTTTGTGGAATTCCCAGTTAATTTCTATTGGGCAAAAGTGTTAAATTGGACCTGATTCAACCTCTATTCCTTGCTATAATAATTCGATCGAGCCTCTTTGGACATTCAGAACTGCAATTTCACCCAGTTTAAGTTATGTGTTCTGCAGACTTGAATCGAGTCTGTATAGTGACGAGTCGAAATATAGAGTATAAGGACATTGACGCGCATACATGTAATGAGAATTTAGCAAGATCAAAGTACGTTGTGTTGCGCGGTATGCTTTAAGTGCGTGATTGTTACTAAATTCTCACAACGTGGCTTACTACAGAAACGAACGCGTGAATCGAATTTGGAACGCTAAATGGCAGATCAAAACTTGACAATGGCAGAACACTTTTGATTGTGCTCGGACATTTTGTCTGACCACTTTTTTTGTCTAATTTCACGCACTGTCTGTGAACGGGTGCAAGCCAACCAGTCTGGTTCCTTGACCTGACCATTCCCCGATGCTATAAATTGCTCCGTTTCATTTGAAGGAGGGTGGAACCAGACTACAAAAACAGCATTTTTGTCTTGGTTTTTCCAGCATCTATGAACACAAACCATTTAACAGATCAGTTTAACAATATTTGCTATAAAATACTAACCCCCCAAATCCATCCATTTCTGAAAATTACAGCAAAAGCAAAATTTAACCATTCCTCCAAGTTATTAAATTGTAAAATAATCCTACAGGTAGTTCCGATAGGCTCATGAAATACGTACGTGCACACTGTATATTCTATAGATTTTTTACATCTTGTTAAAACCTCCATTGATTCATCGTCTTAAATTACATACAATTTCAGGATTGTATTTCTGTGTCGTCCTCATTGATTGTGCACTTGCAGTTTATATCCCACAGATGAAATAATAATAATAATAACGATATTAATTTTGTACTGTGCTGCATGCACAATGCCCTCGTTAGAATTGTTTTAAATCCATGTACAGCTGCATTCTGTGAGTGTACAGTTGTATAATGCAAAATAATGACAATGTCACAGGTCACCGTTCCGTCTGCACAACCATTCAATCTCTTTCATTGGCTAAGCCGGCCCAGCATGCGTTTACAGGACTGCCGCTGCGTCTAAAAATAGACCTGTAGTACTGGTGTGATATAAATGTGCACTGTATATTGTTGGGTATCGTTACATGATGGTATGGGCCAAGTAATGCCAGGAAGCCACTGTGCAGTAGCCTTAAGCAACTACTGTGAGCTAGGAATTCATCGTGAAAATCTGTCAAGCTTGTATTTACAGAATCAAAGTAGCACTCGGTGGTACGTGTACATGGTTAAAGGCAGTGAGTGATGATTGCTGGTTGCACTTGGAGCTGAGCTCTGAAGCTGCAGTTTAATGCATACATGTACAATTTAGACCTTCTACATCCTGTGTGACATCTACAGAGCTTGGATATCCCTGTAGTATTCAACGTTGACGTCACTATTGTGCGTGCACTGTGAACTGTTTGCTTTTTGCAAGATTGGCAGCATTATATTCCTATATTAAGGTGAGTGCGTAATAAATCATGCCATTTGCTGAATCATAATTTGCCACTGCATTGTGTAATGATTAGAGTTATTGTATACATTAAGGTACATGTACAGTACATGCATTTGCATACATGCACATGTTCATAACATGTACCCGGTACTGTGCAATACAGGGTGGATAAAAAAAACGGGAAAGATTTCCATGTACGAAGTTCACTAATTTTCCTCTGTATTGACTAACAAGCCCCCAGATAGCAATTTCATGTCATCAAAGTCAATTTGAGCAGTGAGAAAATACAAGCATTTTCTTAGAAAACACTTAAAAATGTTCAGTCCAATCTCATAGGGTTTGTACACAGGGTGTTGAGTGAACTTCGTATATGGAAATCTTTCCAAAAAACGAAAACAGATGTTATTGCTAATTGGAACTCATAGGGCACATGTGAATCAAAGGGATATCCTCTGTTAGGGTTGAATCTCCTCTTTAAAATGACACCCTGATCATGTCATTACATTCATGGTTGACTGAGCAGTGACCAATTTTATGAAAGGGTCTACTTAGAGAATTGCGCCACTTTTCAATTGTGGTTTTTGTGGTGTCAATTGTCACAGAGTGAAAGGCTATGGTTGCCGATCAAGGCAGGTGGGGAAAAAAATAAAATTTTGCCATGAAAAGTGGCGCAATGCTAGACCCTTTCATAAAATTGGTCACTGCTCAGTCAACTAGTATGCATGATCTCGGTGTCGTTTTAAAGAGGAGATTCAACCCTAACAGAGGATATCTCCCTTTGATTCACATGTGCCCTACTTCTGTTCCAATTAGCAATAATATCTCGGTTTCGGGTTTTTTTTATGCACCCTGTATACTGGGAGAATAAATTTGTAAATTGTATGTTTGGTGCTGTACTGCGTAATTTATGTGAAACACACAACGTGTATCGTACATGTACTTTCAATGAAAACGACAGGAAATTCGCGTGTGTACTCCATCGTGTCCAATTAAACAACCAAGATTTGTTGTCGTCTTTTCTCGGAAACGGTAAGACATTAGGTTAGTTTAATTTCAACTAGACCTTTAAAATATAAATATACAATCCAAAACAGACAATTTTCAGGGATTTCAGGCAATAATGCCCCTTTAAATCTATACCTGAAGCATATTTTTTGGTTTAACGGATAATGCTATACGGATTGGAATGCACAATACAGGTAAACTGACAATTGCGCATTGTGCTTCGAACATTGATCATCACGCATCATGCAGTGTGCATTACGCTCAATGCGTGACGGACGCATGGATTTTCTGCCTTATATGCCAGATGATGTACATTCTGTGGCACTGTATGCATAGCGTTTGCGATGCTCAAGTTGGTTTACAGAAACTCCGGAGAGTGTGTCCCATATCTGCAGAGGCAGGAGTGCACTTAAGTTGCGGTCACCGCACTGTTGCCATGACAACCCGTGCAATCGGAGTCACACTTGAGCTCTAATAGTGCAAAGCCCTTAAAATCACTCCCCCATCCGAGCCAATACACACACCCACACAGCTGCGCCCGCAACTAGACATGTACATGTATGTCTACCTTACCATAAACTCTAAGTAGTTGGTACTCCGCCCCAGTGGTCACAGTATGAGCCTAACTGCAGGAGTTAGGTAGGGGGGGGGGGGGGGGGGGTCGGGTCGGGGTGAGTGTCTTAAGGATTGACAGCTCACTCCAACACTAGAGTAGCTGTCCAGACCAAATCAACAAACAGCTAGGGTGGGCAATTCATTACGGCGACTAAATATCGTCTGCTCCTGGGTACAAAAATGTGTGCACAGGTTTTGCACTCACAGTGTAGGAATAGTTGTGCACGACACACAGCTACCGTAGCTGATTACATAAAACATCTTTATTTAGCAGTATTGTTCATTTCTGTAGAATGCACCCATGCGTATCCATTTTCATCATGGATATTTTGCAATATCTTGGCAAAAAAACAAATGGGTGTTGTCAACGTACAACTTTACCTGCAGACAGGGGCGGATCTAGCTGCTGTATCAGGAAACGTAGGAAGACTGGGGGGGGGGGGGGGGGATTTGAGTGAAGACGTGCCCCTGCTATGGGCTCTGTGCTGTAATTTTCAGAAATGGATGGATTTGGGGGTTAGTATTTTATAGCAAATATTGTTACACTGATCTTTTTAAAGTTTTGTGCTCATAGATGCTGGAAAACCAAGACAAAAATGCTGTTCTTGTAGTCGGGTGCCCTGACCCTACTTCAGACAAAATGGAGCAATTTATAGACGTGGGGGAATTGTCATTTCAGGCAACCAGACAAACTGGCTTGCACCCGTTCACGGACGTGAAACTGATTGCAAACAAAATGTGGACTGACTAAATTTGGCAAATTGGGGGCAGCATTTGAAAAAAGTATGCTTTTTCCAACAATGGTCGGCCGACCATTGTTGGAACTTGATACGAAAATTCCACTTTTCTTGAAAATGACAGCACACCAGGTGCCATGATTACACAGGATGCTTTAGACTGTCATTCACTAACAGTCCAGTAAGGTATTTCAGAGTAATTTAGTAGTTTTGTTTTTTGATATTTGCAAATGTTGTATTACCTTTAAGCATAATACTGGTACCATCTTTTTATCCTCAACCTCAGTTAAAATTAGTGGTCCTTGAATGTATTCAGTTCAATAGAGGGGAAAAGGAACAGTGCATTTGTATAACATGTTAATACCTCCACAAAATCTTGCAGTTTTTAAAGCTACAGTCCATCATTTGCAGCCATCCGAAAAAGTAACTGGCATAATTATTGTTGAAAAACAAACTTGGTTGAAAGATAGTAAGGGAACTAAACTCCCTGTGAAATTATTCTTTCTGGGAAGCTGTCATTTTGAAGTAATCAACGAAAGAAGGCCTTTCCAACGGTGCGTCTTAAAGACGCACCGTAGGAAAATTTAAATTATTTGTTCGTTTTGTTATTCGGCGAAGCGCGCGCAAGCATTGGCACGACGCACACGCGCGCGCAGTTGCTATAATTCGTCGGATCAGTGCGCGACCTCGCATATAACTGCAATTCAAAACAATTCAAAACATGATTCAGTAACTTTTGATTTGAAATTGAGATCCTAGAATGCTGTTTTTCTCGGAATAATGTACAGCTGAAGCTGAGCTGAAACTTCATCAGGTTAGTTGTTCAGTATCCTTCATTAGATTTTGAACACTATTGTTGCTTCATACGAACAAAATGCACAAATTACAAATGATGGACTACATGTACCGGTATATCTTTAATGCCTCCACAAAATCTTGCAGTTTTTAATGGGAGGTAATGTGCTATTTTAATGGCGTGACAGGTTGAGAAAAAATATTGAACCGTTATGCAATCATGTCTGCAGGCAGTTAGTACGAAAAGATACGTACCAGTACATGTGTGCATGACATGTACATGTACGTACATGTACATGTACATGTACACATACGCAACATCATCTGCTACCTGCGTGCGCGTTCGCCATTTCCATTTTCCCCTGATTAAAATATGAACTGACTGCTCTGATGATAATCACTTGAGCCCCCGATCTTCTTAAGATTGCAGCTGACTGATAAACACACTTGGGACGTGCTTGCTACCCCGGTATATATTGCTGGATGAAGGTTATTCAAACAAAAGCCCAATTCCCAGGCTGCGCATTTTTTTGGGGGGCAGGGCTGCGTCATTAAAAGTCAATCGGAAGGTTGTTTGTCAGGCAGATTTGAAGCAGCCAGCGGCCGCCAGAAAATCTGTAGACATTTAGGAGAGTCTTGCATTTATGTATATTACAGGGGAGTGTGTGGCATAGTGGTTAGGGTTCGTGACTCATGATCAGAGGGTCAGGGGTTCGAATCCAGCTGCTGGTCATATGTTGTTTCCTTGGACAAGGCACTTCACCCCCACTTGCCCCTCTCCACCCAGGAGTATAAATGGGTACTGCCATTAGCTGGGAGTAACCTGCGATGGACTAGCATCCCATCCAGGGGGAGTAGACATATTCTCAGTCGTTTCATGCAACTGAAACCGGAGATAAACGCCGGCCTGATGAGCCACATTGGCTCGCGACAGACTTTTCTTTTTACACAGGGTGAGTTTAAAAAAAAAAATCTAAATGGTGCCCCCTATTTTTTAAAGAATTTCTACATGTAGCGCTTTCCAAATCTAGGATATGAAAGCCCAATTTATAAGCTTTCTTTCAGTGAAAGAATCATTTGAATCGCTCATGTACTTTTCCAGTTATAGAATTTTGAACACAAACACTTTTTTTTTTAACCTTGTCCACGGATCACATACATGTATAAGGTACCGGTACATGATATTTTCAGTTAAAATAAAACCATGTCCTATCCTGACAATGATATCAGAATAATCCCATAAGTCCGCAGGGTAGCCAAGTATAGAAGGCAGGGCAAGACTATAAACTCTTGACATTATAACATTTTGTATAAAACATGTTGTTTTGACATTGGAAGCAGCAGGTTTTTAAATAAATGTTACGATAAGTGCCAGTTATCATGGTTATGAGAGTGTTCTGATTTTGATATGTGAATAGTTTTTGTTTTGCTGAAATGTCACGTACCTTTATTGTGATCCGTGGACAAGGTTTAAAAACGGTGTTTGTGCTCAAAATTCCATAACTGGAAAAGTACATTTAGAGTGATTTGAATGATTCTTTTACTAAAAGCAAGCTTACTAATTTGGCTTTCATTTCCTAGATCTGGAAAGTGCTACATGCAGAACTTTTTTAAAACAACAAAATAAGGCCAAAAAAAAAAAGTCTCCGGTTTCTGGTATGGAGCTTGCCCAAAAAGTGGTGCGGCGACGCGGCTTCTTTTTTTTTTTTACCTGATTTATTTGCTTCAAATGTCGGCTGATGACTGCAAATGGTGCCTGACTAAACTTAGTGCAAATATACGGGAGTCCAGAGAGGCCACATAAAGCTTATTCTAGACCATAACCCAATCTAAAAACACGTTAAAATTGTGCAGC